CTTGGGCCTTCCAAAGGTATAGATTGTTTTCGAGTCGAGCCAAGTCTATGGTGTCGATACATAATCCGACAACTGTTTTAAATTATTGCCCGAATTTATTGGGTATCAAAAAAACCCAACATGTCGCTAATTCCAAGTGTTTTCGGCCGACAAAGCAACATCTGGGATCTCTCGACCCCTTTCAAGACTGGACCTTTAGTTCTGCCCTCTCCACTCAAACTCGTTCCGACCTTTCAAACGAGACATCTCAGTTTGCTGCCACCCGGATTGACTGGAAGGAGACACCGGAAAGCCACGTGTTCAAGGCGGATCTTCCGGGGCTGAAGAAAGAGGAAGTAAAGGTTGAAGTTGAGGAAGGTAACATACTGCAGATTAGTGGAGAGAGGAACAGGGAGAAAGAGGAAAAGAATGATACATGGCACCGTATGGAGAGGAGTTCCGGCAGATTCCTCCGCCGGTTCAGGCTGCCGGAGAATGCAAAAATGGAGCAGGTTAAGGCCAGTATGGAGAATGGCGTGTTAACTGTAACTATCCCCAAAGAAGAGGTGAAGAAGCCTGACCATTGAGATTTCTGGTTAAAGACTTCAAAATATCAAGAAATTGTTTTGAAGTCTTATGTATTTTGTATGCGAATTTGATGTTATGTTTTTTGTAAAATGGTTGAGTTTTGAAGTGCGATGATCTACGCTGAGGGAACATGTTTCGCTGAATAAAATTTGATGTTATGTATGATGAATACAAAAATTCACACGTGGTCAATAGTTGAGAAGCTAATTTAGGAAATATTCAAACGTCTAAGCTAAATCTATGCTACTGTTACAATGTACAGCTATAGAGTTTAAAACTAGAATCAATTACAAATATGAAAATAATGACAGAATATTTGACATGATTTTAGGCTTAGACATGCTATGTTTTGTCTTGAACTTGATTCACGCATTCTTCCCTTATACCTCTTACGTCTCTCTCAAAACACACACATTTGAATGTCCACTGATTCATTATAATCCAGAATTTTGATTATCCAAATCCCCTTTCTTTCTTCCTTCTTTCAATTTTGTTTTGGAATGTCTATCTGCAGCAACAGGAATAATCTCAAGTCTTGTCAACCAATAAGCATATCCATACACAGCTGTAATTTTGGGAAATAAAAACCAACTTCAATTTCTGTTAATTGTGAAATTAAAATAAAGAACATGAGACAAACACATAAATGAACTTGGACTCGATTGAAGTTGTGATTTTTATTTTTTTCCTTTTTTTTCTTTTTTGAGTTCTTCCTTAGGATTTTCTCAGAAATGGATAGTAAAGATTCGAACTTTTTCCTCCACCTCACTTTCAACAACTTAATTTTCTAACCATCTCTTTTGTTCTCCATGTACAATAATCAAAATTATTTCTTTTGAAAATATTCACTTGAGAAACTTCATTAATCAGAAACGAGGATGGTTTCTTCCAATTTGTAGGTGGGCATGTGTCAGATGGATGGAGAAGAAGAAGGTGGAAATGGATTTTAAATTTTAATTATTTGATTTTGATTATTTTATTATAAAAAAAATGTAAAGTTACCATTTTATCATTTTAAAATTAGTTAAAATTATTGTCAAGGTCAAGTATTTGGTCAACTAACGATCAAACTAACAGAAATAATCTATTTGGACTTCAACTGCGATATTTTGAAAGATTTGGTAACGTGGGAGGTACAAATGAAAGATTTGGACAAAAACTGCTACTTAATGAAAGGTTTGGTATCGCTACTGCAATTATCCATAATAAATATTTATACGTTTCATTTTTGTTATATCACTATGCCCTTGTTTGAATCTCATTTTTTTATTAAAAATGTATTTTAGAATAATATTTTTTGAAAAATGTATGGTTGAAAAATGAGGAAAAATTGTCAATTTACGTGTAATGTTATTTATTGAAGAATGTGTGATTGAAAAGAAAAAGAGAAAAATGTATTTTAAAAAAAACAAAGGGAGTCCAAATTAGGCTAAGCCATTGTTTGATCCACATTATTTTCAATCACACATTTTTCCTCTCTTTATTTTCAATCACACATTTTTCCATCAAATAATATTACACCTAGCGGCTGTCTGGGATAGATTTTTCAGCCCAAAATAATTCCTTTTTGTACAATTAAGTTGAAAAGCAGCAGCCCTTTTTGACCACATGTGAGACAGGTGGGACCCAAGTTTGAATAGTTAACTGTAGAAATTATAATTTCTAGTGCTCCCAGACATGGTCCTAAATTCAAAACTTTTCTTTATTTTTCAATCATACATTCTTTATCAATCTACTATTTCAAAACGTATTTAAAAAAAAAAAAAATTGTGCTATTAATATTAAATGTGGTAGGAGTACAATGATCAATAATTGACAGTGAAATAAGCACTGTGATCAATGAGATAATGGGCATTTGTACGGACTAGTGTGAGACCGCGATTCATAAACTGACAAATGAGACTCATCCTAGATGTATTTTTATGTAAATCATATTTTGTTAGTGTAATTATTTTTTTTTTTCAGCACTTGAGTAAATAAATAATAATAGTTTCATATTTACTTCAGAATAATTATCCAAAAGGATTATAATTTAATGCCTAGTGTTATAGTGATTTCACGTCTAGTGAAGGTTCAATAATGATAAAATTTAACATGCTTAAATAAAATAATTTGATATACCTTCAATTTTCAAAATTCATGTAAAATATTTATTTGTTAAACATGAATAGCAGATTTTATTTCACACCACTATATCACACAATCATTTTTTTTTTTTCCTTTTTTTTGATCTAATGAGGCTTCAAATCACAATCTCGTGACAGCCATCTTACAAGTTCCATCAGGCCAGCATGTCATAACAACGTCTTATTTGATCGAAGTGAGGTCGTATATAAGGTAGTCGAAGTGATGCATCATCTCTGTTGAGGTGCAAAAATGTTAAATCTCTATTTATAATTGGTTATTTTTTAGATAAAATTAAAGTAATGGAGTTGTAATTAAAGTCAAAATAGTTAAGGATTGATAATATAATCCTTGGAGGGAAAACAATATTCAAGAAATTTACATATAATCAATGGAATGCAATTAGAAGTCAAAAGAATGTCAAAGTGTTGCACAAATTTTGCCTCATATTCTCAGTTACAAGTTGTACACATTTTTAACAAAGAAAACATTTGAATTTAAAAAATGGTACTTCTCTAAATTAATTGTAGCCCTTTAAATTACTGCAATCGAATATTGGGAGAAAATGTTATAATAACAATATTGATCGTTACTCAAGGATTGCTTGTGGCCGCCCAGAAGGCGCTCAAGCGATAATTCGATGGAGAGAAACCCTAGTTCGCGTAAAACTATTATTTTCTATCCCCAATCAACCTAAAATACTTCCATTATAAATATACGAGCCATGGAATGTCCCAAAATGTGGTTGAACGTTATATTCATTATAGAGTTCATATTTTGAAGATCATAAACTCATTCCAAAAGATCCTTTTATTCAATTACAAATATATTTTTCATATTTGTTCCTAAATATTGTTTTGTTGAGCCTTCGTTTTAAGTCAAGATAACATTCTTTGAAGATCCAGTACGTATTCCAATAAATATTTTGCCTAAGCCACAGATCAAAACACAAAGTTCAAACACCAAATAAAAGCCTACTTTCACCTATAAACCTTCAAAGTTCTGAAGTTTGGAGAAGAGGCACTTGGAGTTCCAGCGTTGGAAAACAAGATTCGTTCTTCGTGATCCAATGAAGAGAAAAGTGGCCCAGAGTTCTAGAAAGTGCGGACGTGCACAACCAAATGAGTTACTTAGTGATTTACAAGTTAGGTGGCCAGAATCAACTAATGTTTAGCAGTATCGAATGAATTTTAAGTTAACTTTTCTACTGGATTATTAATTAGCCCCCATGATCAATTCTTGGTATTATTTATTTTATTGCTTTGATTTGAATATTTATTTGATTGACACTTAGGGTGTGTTTGGGAGAAATTTTNAAAATATCTTCTTTCTCCACCGTATCCCAAGTCAACTTCTATACAAAGTAATTATAATAAGACCCTATTAGAGAGAAATTTTAATCAGGATTTTAATCAAAATTTTAGCCTTTAACTATCATATCAGCCACCATTTTGGACTTTCTCTCTCACAGGTGGGGCACAGGTGGGGCCCACTGGTTGACTGTAACGGCTAGCATTTGGATTAAAATCTCACAAAAATTTCTCCCAAACACACTCTTAGAGTTAATTTAATTGAATTAATTACTTTAATCATATAGAAATAATAATTAAGTGACTTATTTTAATTCCACGTAATTGAGTCTACATACAAAGATCTTTCAAGTTGTATTAGAGCTTAATAGCTATCTTTAGCCTAAATGGGTCAATCACTTTCTGATTTGGGATCTGAGTGTGATATGGATATTCGGGAGGCTTATGACCATTTTTTTGAGGAGTGCCTTATGTTGAAAATTGCGAATTGCTATGCTTTAAAAAATTGAATAATTTTGAATTTGAAAAGGAGAGCCTTGTAGCCAAACTTGAGGAATTCACTGAAAGTTTGAATAAGTTAAGGGTTGAGAATGAGTCCTTAGATGTTAAGGTTAAATCTCTTATGAGTGATTTGAAAAAAATTAAATATCCAACTTCAAGCTTTCTATAACGGATCTAAGAAAATTGATAATATGATAGGCATGAAAAAAATTCTAATAAAACAAATTCTAATACTACTTTTTCTTTTAAAAACAAGTTTGTACCTCTCTCGATAAATTCTAATTCAACACTTGAAACCTAAAGTTGCTCCTAGGTTCATCCCAACGTGTCATCATTATAGGAGACATAAGACCTAAATGTTGTCAACTTTTAAATATGAACAATACCAATAGAATGGGAGCTTTTGAACATAAACCACCTGTACAATATAGGTTTCTCCCACTTCAAATTCAAAATTTGAAACCTAAGATTACTTCTATACTCACTCTCATATGTCATAATTGTGGTAAGTTAGGTCACATTAGACATGTAAACCCTTAATTAGGAATAACAAACAAGATCTAACCACTCAAGTTAGATTCTTGACTAATCAAGTGAGTCACTTGACTGAATTGGTGACTAAATTGATTAAGGTTACATATTCTTGTAAGAAAATTTGGATCAAAAAGAGTAAATTCATAGGTCAAAGTGATGTTTTAAATTATTGTATTACTCGCGTTTCTCTTCATGATAAGAGCATTTATGTTCCTCATTGACTAAGTTTTTAGGTGCATGCATTTACATTGTTCATGGAATCTATATATTCATGTATGCACTATATTTTTGTTATTTCATTTTTTTTATGCATATCCTTTTTCTTAAATGAAAAACAATAACAAAAATTAAAAAAGAAAAAGAAAAAGGGATTTTTTTTTTTATGTCATTGGACATGTTATTTTGTGATCAAGTACTAGTAAACTTTAATAATAGTGAATAAAGTTTTCATTAACTTTATTTAAAACTTATTTGGATTAGTTGGTATGGGTTATTTCATATATAATATGCACTGCACACATTAAATTCTT